ACTGTATATTTATATTAAATATAAAAAAAATAAAATTAATTTAAATTAACTGACAGACCTCATGTTTTTTCGGGAAGTTTACTCCACAGGTAATGAGCAAAATAAAGAAATGCCATTTCACTTTGTGTGGTTCAACTTCTAGGAATACACAAAAGCCCGATTGTATTTTGATCCAAGCCAGCTTTGAGGCTGAACAGTAAGATTTTGAAAATATGTCCTTTGACGCACCGGAAGACAGCTCGTAATTTGAGGACCGATGTGATACGGTCCGGTTTTCCTGTTGAGGACAAGCACTAGAGGAAACGGATGGATGTGTGGTGAAATAATGCGTCTGGATACTTTTGTCTAATTTGAGGTCTTTGGCTTCCCTCGCTTGATAGCAAGTAATAATATAACATCGGCATTTATCCATCTAATGCCATCTGGATCATGCTGATTTTTTTTTTCTTATCCCGGAATGATAGTATAAAGGGCACCTGTGGAGCGTATTAAGATTTCAGACATTATTAAGCGACGATGAAAGTCGGCTTGTTTCACTGGAGTGTTCAAATCAATCTCCTGCTAGCGATGTGTGGAATTAATAACATTTTGCTCCATTTTCACAAGCTCCACTCAAGGACGTCACATTTCTTTGTACTGAGGACTACTTTTTCTTTGTTATCCCACATCCTGCTCTATGTGGGTCAGGGACAAGGCGTTGTGTCAATCATTTTGTCACAGCTGCTTTGGAGAAACAAGAGTGCATCTCTTGAGCAATTACCGGAGCACGCAGGTGGCAAAGTGCAATTTTACTTGCCTCTCGCCCTCATTTCGGAGTCGCCATAATATTATTGGCGGTCTTTTCCCTTTGCTTTTCCTTTTTAAAACTGATTCAGTACCAGCCAATTCTGGACCAAGTCTGAAAAGACGTTTAAAAACGTCTTTGGGAGTGAATGAGTTGAAAAAAAATAAACTGTCCTCCCACTAGAGATGACAGAGTACAGAATGAGGCGCAATAAACATCCCGCTACTTTATGACTGTCAGCGTTTTGCGTGGAGTGCTTCAAATGAAGGGACATATTTCTTGTAAAGAATGAAAACGGCGTCACCGTGTGAATCGTGAAGTGTTTCCCTTCTGTGTCGTCTCCTTTCTGGAGGTGAAATTATCATTTGTCGTCCCGCTTGTCCTTGTTCCATCTTGGAAGTAAAGCATCCGTTGTTGTTCGCGCTTGCCAAAAAAATGCCGCCTTGCAGTAAAATTTATTGATCCTTTTAATTGATTTTTCTATTTTGAGAAACGGTCAGAGGTTTACAGCCTATCACCTTGAAAATTAAACAAGGAGGCTTTTATCGCTTTTGGTTTCGTAGGATCACAAAAAAAAAAAAAAAAACCCAGACAAGTATTCTCTGCTATATCATTTTTCAACATTGAAAAGCCTGCGATCTCGCTTTTTTTTCTCCTATATTTACTTACAGTTACGCCCTCGCATGTGTGAAAGGAAAGCCACAGTCCCCAATGTACTTTTAAGCTGTTTTATGAACACCGGCAGTACAGCGCACACACTCAACACAGAAGCTGCTTATGTGCAGAAACTCACACGCAGAGTCACAGATGTCACACCACACCCAAGTAGGCCCCGCCTCTTCAAGGCACAGCATTTTATGGCTGCAATTTGTTTTTGGTGTTCTCATACACTTGAAATTTTGTTCAACAATGGTGTTTTTAATAAGTGTGTTTTAATTGGCTTCATTTGTTTAAAGGCTTTGGTAGAGAGAAACGAATGCAATTAGAGTAATTCATTGATGGATAAAGAGTAATTTCTTGAAAAAAAAGCTTCAGCGTACTTCAAAATGAAAAGTGATATGGTCATGATTTATGACTTCAGATATCACAGTGGTTTTTTTTTACTGCGTTCAAAATTGCCTGGTGGCCGCCTCCCAGGCCAGACCGATTGATATCGCTCAACGCAGCGTAATAAAGTTCGATTCTGCGAATAAATCAGGGCGTGAACACTGCCTTCGTCACGCTCTTACGGAGGACTACTAATCCTGTCTTGACCGCGGATGTTGACACTCGCCGCCGACTGCGCTCGCGATACTTCTTTCGTCTCCCCGCCATGTGATTAAAAAGCCCGGTGCTGTGTCGTGATTGGCGTGCCAACATGGGTGGAAGCAGCGGGACAGCTTAAGGTTCAAACTGTCATTCTCTCATACACCATCCTCCGCATTCACAGCCACCCCGCAGTCTGTCTGTCTATCAGTCGGCTATTTTGGCCCATTTTTTTTTTTTTTTTTTGTCACTCTTCAAGCGACTGAGCACTGATCATCCACTGTACTGGAAAAACTGCGACCCTGAATTGGGTTTTGAGGATTTTAAAGTGCAGTGTTTTTTTCAGGGACAGTCTAAAAGGCTTCCTTATCTCTACTCATGCCCATTTAAATCGATGAAAACATTCAAATGATCGAACCAACGCAGTGGGTCATCATCAGGTATCCTAATAATAAACAGATAGATAAAAAAAGAGAATAAATTCTTACCTTTACTCCTGTGGCTGGCTGGCTGGCATTCTAGAAGGGCCACAAGCCGGTTCATGGCGACTCTTCATAGCTGCTAAACGTTGTAGGGTGTGACGATAGTAAACCGAAGATTCCCTGTAATAGAATGGAACTTTTATTAGTAATGAAAACATTACTGCATTACAAAAAAAAAAATAGATGTGACTTAGTAACTTTTGTCTCTGTACCAAAGGTGCTTTGGAGTTGTCCACAGGTTTGATTCTGGTGTTCAGTCAGCACAATATCAGATATGGGTCATTTGAAAGTACAAGGGGGAAAGACAAATAAAAGTGATATAGGACCAAAATCGGAAATTGGTTTGGGGGCCTGCAGTGAGAAAATATACCCTCTTCCTATTCGCAAATGTCATATCGAACCACTGTTCTTGAATCCCAGTTGCTGTTTTGCTGTGCGGAGACAATCTCGGTCACACGCTGAGAAGAAATCCATTTGATAAACTTGGGCGGACAGGATGAAGAGCGAGCACATGGCAGGAAAAGGCCAGTCTGGACACTTTCGAGACAAACATTGACAGTGGCCACACTGAGATGGTTTGGACTCCCGACCAAGTAGGAACAATGGCTCATATAAAGTGGACAAAAGTATTGAGGCACAGGAATAAACAATGAATGAAAATCTGCAAACATTTTGCCTTTTCATATGTATGCGTTGCTTATAAATTATGTTTGTGACTTCTTTGAACATATTGCGGAAAGCTTTTTGTAAGGTACCTCAAGGCACGGATGGGTGGAAAAACACTTTCTTCAGTGTGCAGTGGACATTTTTTTTTTCCTTTAACCTTTTCAGGATGGACACACGGCTACTATAATGTCACGTGTTTTTCCACCTGAATCCCTCCAAGTCTTATCGGACTGTACTGTTCATTTTTACTGGAGGAAAAAGGCTGCAGAGCTTGAAGAAAGGCGCATGATCCTCTTCCCTTGGGATGTTATCGCAAGCTCTCCTGACATCATTTGAATAGAGCGGTCTTGAAAGTTCCGCCATTCCCAAAAAAAAAAAGGACAAAAAAAAAAAAAAACAATGTCTTCTCATATCTGCAACAAGCAGTCACGGGCGCCAGTTGGGTGGGCATCAACGGGGTCGGACCCCCGTGACTGAGCGCCCTTCACAAGTTTATGTTTGCTCACATCTGCGAAGGAAGCGGGAGGCGAGCCGTCCTTGCGTTGCCACGGCAACTGGAGGGAAGCTTCCACCTCCCTCACCCTAAAAGGGTGCATGGACGGCCGCAACGTGGGTCACAGTGAAACTCCTGCCCCCGTGGCCAATGACGTTGCGAGAGTTGAGCGTCTGGCGTCATCCCCCCCCCCCCCCCCGAACCCCCCCACCTGAGTCATTGCACTCCCAAAGGACGGATGAAAGGAGACTAAGTGGTCAAACAGGAAATACGGTCACCTCGAGTCCAACGGCTCCCCCATGCCGGACAATCTGGCAGGGCCTCTTTGGTTGTTTTCCATCACGACTCTGCATGAGTGCTGTAATAATCCTAATAACCCACGCGCGTGCAGGCGGGTATTTTTGCATGCGTGTCGCTTTCACCAGAAGGGTGCCGGGCGGGAAAAAAAGCAGCAATTATGGACTCCCATGTTGAGCAGTCATATCGGAGAGAAGTCAGTTGTTGCTCTATATTCAATCAGAGCAGCTAACGAGAGCGACAGAGGATGATCTGGCTCTAGCGGAGCGTCGTTTCCTCCTAAAAGCCATTAGAGGCTCTTGCTCTTGTACTTCATATGCTTAAATAATTATCACCCCTTTTTATCTGCAATTTGATTTCCCGCCCTCGCAGCGGAGCTCGCAGTCTAATTCCTCTCTTGACATTTCTGTCCAACTTTTGTGTCTTCAGGGTGCAGGTAGAGTTCTACGTGAACGAGAATACGTTCAAGGAGCGCCTCAAGCTGTTCTTCATCAAAAACCAAAGATCCAGTGAGTTAGCCCCCATGCGTGTTTGCTGGCTTCATTTTCCTTTCGGTTTTCACACTCTTTTGTCGACATGTATGACTTCAAACAATTGAAGTCAACCAGTTGAGGTATTTAAACTCAATGCTCATATTATTAAGTACAACTTGAGCCATCTTAGTGTCCCTATAAAGAGAAAATAAATGTCTTGTGCATTTGATACACCACAGGGGGGAGCGTTACTAACTATCCTGCCAAATTTGAATGATGGAAAAAAAGAAACGTACATGTAAAATGAGGGTTCAAAATCAATTAAAAATCAGGCCAGTCTCTCAACCCCTGCACGCTATGCTCGAGTCCACTGATTTGCTGAAACCCTGCCCTGCACAACTGTCCATCGAATACCATACATCACAGGTGTCAAACTCAAGGTCCGGGGGCCAGATCCGGCCCGCCAGGTCATTTTATGTGGCCCGCGAAAGCAAATCATGTGTGTCAACTTGCTAAAATGTGTCCCGAAATGTCAAATTGTCATGTGTAATAAATAACGTTGAGATTTTGCAATAATTTTGTTACCCAGTTTACTCTCACTTGAACAATAATTGAACAAATGATTAGAATTGACTTGACTGATTTCAAAACTAGTCACCTATTAATGTGTTCCGTACAAGTAATAATTTTGTGGTTTCACTGTCATAACGGCGCTCCGACGGAAGACGTACCTCCAAATTGGGCCGCGACTAAAATGAGTTTGACACCCTTGCCATACAATCTTTCTTATGTGTACACATCACCACATGCTTTCCTGGGAAGAAGTGTTTACTCCCTACAAAAGCTAAATAGTTAACTGCTAGCTGTAATTTTGAAATATTTCTACTTTCACTGCGCCGCAGGACTATTTTTTAACCCTTGCCATAAAGAGCTCAATCCGATCTAAATGAAACCCTCCAATCTTTCCATTGCAGGTTTGCGAGTGCGAATGTTCAATTTTGCACTCAAAGTGCTGAGCTGTCTCCTCTACATTGTCAGAGTGTTACTGGACAACCCGCAAGAGTGGAAGCCCGACTGGTGAGAACCACACAACACAGCGTCATTAGTGCATTGGAGTGGAATCTGTGAGAGGAACTAGACAGGAATCGACCATTTTCTTTTGTCCCCGCCCAGCAGCGCGAGCGGCGCAAACTGTACCAAACAGAACACATCCTCCCGCCAGTGGAGCGAGTTTGACTGGTAAGCGTGCACCGCGTCTTCGAATTAGGAGTGATAGCCCCTCGTCTCGGGCCCTCAACGGTCAGGAACGTCGGATAACGCGATCAATGCAACTTCACTTAACCGATACGATTCACATGCTCATATTGAACATTTCAGATCCACATTAATTTCTCACAATCAGGCCGTATGGATTAGCTGTCAGTGTAATATGTATCTAGTGCCTGTGCAGCCTAATCAACAGCGATCTAGTGGAGATAAAGCATGTAATATACAGCTGGGGGAAGGGGAAAACGGGGGTGTGGGGGGGTCTTGCGGAAGGAGAAAACAGGAGGTGGCGGCTCACCGACCCCCGGAAGGCCACGCCATGTCTCCAGCCCAAGGACCTATTGATCTAATCGGTGGTCGGTGACGCTGGCTAAGCTCCGGCTGCAAATGAATAAGGAGGCTGACAGAGCGAGCTCAGGGAGAGGGGCTGCCGCCGCCTACTGCTGCAGGTGGCCGACTCGTAGGAGCGATCAAGCAGGCAAGCAGCCATGATAGGCCCCAGGGTGTCTTTGGAAGGGTGGCGGGTGGGGGTTGGGGGGGCTCCTTTTTCTCACAATAAGGCTGTAAATTTCCATTTGACTGTGTGAATCTCACTTTTCGCCTACAATATGAGAACACGGGCTGTTGATGGTGCTGGTATAAGTATATTGTCTATTTTAGCAGCCACTCATCTCAGTGATGATGCCCTTTTTCTCCTCAGAATTTCGAAGGATTTTATGAAAAAATACAATGCAACGTAATTAGTGGAAAACAGACAAAAAATATTTTTTTAAAAGCCAACACAAACTTGGGAAAATGTGACAAAAATGAGAATATATTTTAGCCGGCACTTTTTCTGTTTTGAGCCTGTTCGCACCACAATTTAGGATCATATCGAAAAATACACAAATAAATTTGATGGAAATTAAACAGAAAAGCAGAAAAATGCTGTGTCAGACCTGACTATGTTACCACCGGAATTTACAAAATTCATTACAAATTCAAATTAAATTCATACCAAAGGTTTATAGTGTCACAATACAGACTGGCTTTTCCCACAATTTTGTAAGTTTTCTTTCAAAAAGTTATGTGCCGTAATTAATTCGTTGAAATGTTATCCAATAACACCCAAAAAATGATTACACGTTCTCCCTAGAATTTAATACAATTTCCTCCCGCCCATAAAAGTGAATCACTATTATGAAGGAGCTGACAAAAAAAAATTGTTTTGACAGTTTAGGAAAAATGAAAATCCATCCATCTTCTGAACCAAACATGCACGGTAGGTTGAAATATTTCAATACGTCGTTAAAATTAGCTGTCATTTGCACCTATTGTCAGTATCAAGTCCATTTGCATAAAATTGAATAGGTTTCATTAAAAAAAAAAAAAAAAAAAAAGTAATGCACTCTAATTGGTAGGAAGCGCTCAAAAATGTTTGTAATTGTATTTTCTTGGGTGAGTCACTGACAGGGTTTGTGCGACCACAGTGTCACTCCTGTTGTTGGAAAATAGCCCAATTATGAGCATAATATAATGCACACGCGCACACAGGCGCTTCCATTAAGCAAGAAACAGCTTGGACAGCGACATAAATGGCCCGCATACAGTTTACCGCTTTAACAAGGGCAGTAATGCAACATTCTGAGCATGGCTGCTAATTATGACCTTTTACATTCATTACTATGTTGTTTTTCTTTATTACCTCACGTCTATAATACGATGGCGCTGCAGGCGCACTATTTCATGCAATCTGGATTTGACCATGAATTCTCTTTGTCACATTTCCGATCAAATTCTCGCATCCTTATTGGTTGTACCTTTGCTCTTTGTCCTGTCATGTCATGTCCTTGCACCTTGCAGGAAGCTGATCATCTGGGTGGACAGACCTCTTCCCCTGTGGGCCCTGCAGGTCAGATAAAAAAAGACAACATGTGCGTTATAAATATACATTTTGCACGTGTGCTTTCCGTTGACAGGTAATATTCGTTATTCCCTTATTTCATTTGCATACGTCTAACGAGATGTGAGGAATGGCGCGCTAATGGACATAAAAGTGGACACAATCACGGCACATTTCCCCTCGTTGCTCACATGGCTTTTTTTTTTTTTAATCTCTCTGTAGCTCAATCATCAGCACGCCCACTGATGCCACCCACGCTCTCTTCTTACATGCCTAATTTCTCTCTCTCAGACTGTCTCAACTCCCCGTCTGCTCTCTCTCTCTTCAACGCGAGTCTTCCCCCTCTCTCTCTTTTTGCAGGTGCTCGTGGCTTTTATCAGCTTTTCAGAAACCATGTTGCTTGTGTATCTTAGCTACAAGGTGAGTCGCTCGGGGTAAGACTTTTTACGAAAAACTGTGGCGTAAACGTCACCAGAAGCCTGTTTTTCCTTGCAATATGTATTTTGTGTGTAATACAGAGCAGCAGTTTCACGGCCCCATTAATGGACATGGGGTCCTCGGTTTCCCATGGTGCAAACTTGCACCGCAGCTATTGTATTTGATCATCCCATCAATTAATCGATTATCGGCTAAAAGATTTTTGCATTTACATACATACATACAATGTGCATGTAAGGAACAGGTATTATTTTTGTCAACTGATGTGGAGCATGTATGGCTTTTAAATCGGCAGATTGTGTGTAAATGTGCTCATTATATAAGCGGGGTTAGAACCTGGCCAACCATCGTAAAAATGAACGCACGCAATAAAATATTCTTAATTTCTAAAGTCAAGCAAAAAATATTTTATTTGTTTACTTGAACCATTGCTTTGACTCAGAGGCTCCAAAAAAAAAAAATAATTAGCATGTTGCGATACCTTTATTAAAATTCTGAAACAAAATTAAGATAAGGCAATTTGGTCATGCTTGTTTTTTTCTTCTAAATGCATTACCGAGGTATCAGCTCAAGACTCGGTATCAGCAGATACTTCCAAAAAAAATGACTTGGACTCGGACTTGGGTGCAAAAAAAAAAAAAAAATGCGATCAAGACATCTCGAAATACGATGTTCCAAATCAGTGCGTGTATGTACCCCGCCTTAGTGGGTGGATGACCTCCAAAGTGTCCAAATATTGATACATGAGACGGATTTTAGGGGAGCCCCCGTGTTGCTGCTGCGGGGTGTCGATTCATCCAGGTGTGCCCGTGCCTTTCATGTACTTGGCACTATAAGCCTATGAAGGGCCCCATGCGTGCATGAATGCCAAGGCTTTAAAGCCAACTGAGTGGAGACAAGAGATGTGAGCACGTCCACCTACACTCTTCTAGGACGGGGTCGGATAAAAAGCTGCCGTGTTAACCGGAGGCAGCTGAGACTAAATGCTATTCCCCCTTAAATGGCACTCATGCGACTTGTATAACCCGTCCTTCCATTTCAAGCTCCAACCTATCCCCTTTCGCTAAACGGGCCTGTTATGCGGTAATCCCGCCCGCGGGGGTCGCCATGACAATGGAGTTCCCTGACCTCTTGTGTGTGCTTTGTGTTTCCAGGGCAACGTCTGGGAGCAAGTACTACGTGTCCCATTCATTCTGGAGATGATCAGCGCTGTCCCCTTCATGATCACTGTGAGTGGAAAAACATGCACCACTGAACACCGAAAGCACACTCAAACAGCACCTTGCCTTCCCCCTTCTGTAATACGCATTTATTACCTGCTGCTACTGTAGATGGATGGCACTCACGGGTGACACAGTCGGCTTCCACTTCCCTGGCTCCTCGACCGCGCGTGCATTCTGTTGGACAAACACAAGCAGAAGTGACATGCTCTCTTGTTTCTTTTCCACAGGTGATTTTGCCCTCCTTCCGAAATCTCTTCATTCCCGTTTTCCTGAATTGCTGGCTGGCCAAACATGCTTTGGAGAACATGATAGTGAGTCAAGCATCTACAGTAATACTCTCAATCCTGCATGATGTGTACGCACTTTTGTTGGAGTGAAAAAAGGAATTGTAAGAAAGTAGACTACAGTGAAACTCCTCTACAACGAAACCTACACGGGCGAAAATACCCCCTAGTGTGAAAAAATCTTCATGCTTTAACAAAATTCCCACTCTCCTGCCCCCCATACAACGAAAAAAAAAACCCGTTGCGTTATACGAAATCTTTTTTTCTGCTCTTGCCTCGCAACGAGATTCACTACAACGAAGTCTAATCCAACAGCGACCTCTACTGCTTTGTTCGGAAACGGCAACAGCAACCACCACACTGGTTTACACACGCGCAGTAGTCCAGGAAGTATTTGTTATTGTTAGTTTCAGACGCAGCAAGAATGTTGCGTTGCTAAAATGGCTGCAAAACGGACCTTTGGATGTCAAGCAGCTAAGACAGGAAGAGCTCTGATGCTGGAAGAGAGGGGAAAAGTGATCAAAATGAAAGAGGGAGGAAGCAAAACAAAAGACATTATCCAAGAAATTGATGTGAGTGAAAGTGAATGCTGATCGTAAATTTCGCAATTTCTTTCCTTTTTTTTCTTTCTACACTGACTATATGAAGCGTCAAATAAGTGTATGCTCATGCTTATGCACTATTGGAATAAAAATAAAGAGTACACATACGTTTGTGTGTGTGTGTTTACATCTGAGATCAAATTTTCTACAGTGAAAAACCCCCTGTTGTGAAAAATTTCTTGCTGCAAACATGATTTCGTTGTAGAGGAGTTTCACTGTAGTCGACTTTTACCCTTTTTTTTGTGTGTGTGATGCAGAAGAGAGGTTTCTTTGTCATACGTGGATGACCCGGCGATGAATTAGGGCATCTATTACAGGGAAAGCCACAATTTGAGGAAACATTTTTTTTTCTCCCACGCTCCACCAAGCACACGTCCGATCTGTTTAAGAGCTGAGCAGCACACCTTTAGGCCCCGTTTTCCTTTTGCACAGCTCATCTGGCGTCTCCCACTTTTTGCGTCCCTCTGCAGAATGACCTCCACAGGGCCATCCAGCGGACACACTCGGCCATGTTCAACCAGGTGGTGATACTCATCAGCACGTTGGTGTGTCTCATGTTTACATGGTGGGTACCCGCATGGACTCGAGAGCCAACTGCAACATGAAATCGGGGGGGCAGATGGGTGAAAGGAAAGACAGCAAACGACGGTGTGCTGAAACATGCGGCAACACAAGAGATGGAGGGAGAGAGAACGCAGACAATAAAACAAAGCAGGAAGATAATTGGTGACTGCGAGTGCGAGATAGCGACAAGACATGACAAGTGGTGATTGTTCCAAAGCGACAATGGCTGGGCTCATCTTTAAAGATCGACGACAGCGCGATGACGAATCCCAAAGCTGACATTTACCTTTTTTTAAAAATCCCATATAGACGGCAGCAATGGTCTGCTCTCATCCATTTAAGACTTTGTAAATGTACGCTGTTCCACACATTAGGTCTGGAAAGCATCCACCCGCCTACCAGCGCGCACACGGTTGAGAAATTCAAACACTTTATTCGGTACACCTGCAAAAGCCAAAGACATCCAATATGAAGTATGTCTTACGCTATATTAAAGGAGTGCTCTACTCTGACGGCATTTATACGCACTGAAGGGCACAAGGTAACTAACGCTCAGTTTATATCGACACTGCCAGAGAGGTTCTTTCCATTGTACGCATGCTGGCCACCAGGGGGCTGTAGAACACATCCACCCATTTTGTAATCCGCTGACAAGGGTCGCGGGGCTTGCTGGAATCTATCCTAGCTGTCTTCGGGCAGTAGGCGGGGTACACCCGGAACTGGTTGTACAATCGCAGGGCACATATAGACGATCAACCATTCGCGCCCACACTCATACCAAGGGACAATTTAGAGTGTTCTATTAACTCGCCGGGCATGTTTTTGGACTGTGGGAGGAAACTGGAGTACTGGAAAATACAGACATAACATATGTATACATGCAGCCGGTCAAAAGTCATCAGTAAGAAGCAGTAATAGCACTCGTTCTTTGTAGAGGATAATGGATATATATTTCTGGTTTGTATTATATTATCTCTCTAGCTGTGTTACTCCACCGTTTGTGTTCAAACATTGAACTGTACCTGAGGTGAAAAAAAAATGTCATAATACTGTATGTAACACTATTACACCTTATAATACAAAAGGTAGCGTTTCAATGCAGGTGCACCCACTGTAGTGGCCAGCGAGTGCATAACCCCGGTATGCTGCCTTCCTGTGATGTTTTTCTTACATATTCATTAAAAACAGCATCTGCGGCATCCAGCACCTGGAGCGAGCCGGCAACAATCTGACCTTGTTCGATTCGCTTTACTTCTGCGTCGTCACCTTCTCCACGGTGGGCTTCGGGGACGTCACCCCACAGATCTGGCCCTCGCAGCTGCTGGTGGTCATCATGATCTTCGTGGCGCTCATTGTGCTTCCCATACAGGTGAGAGAGAAAGTGATGGTTAAAACAAAATGAAAAAAGAAGACCAAAGAGAGATCGACCAATGCGAACAAGTCCACAATGACATGTTTATTTAACATTGTGAGTTGCTCCAGGCTGTCTGCTATGAAATTGCATAATAGTCATTTTTCAAATGACGCCTTCAATTGAAAGATTGAATTGCACACTTAACCTAGTAAACTCATTTCACCCAAGGTTACTTTGAGACGAACTCACACAGACACACGGCGGTGACTCATTTCATCCAGCCTACGTTTGATTTGCGACGCTATTTTTATTTCGAGAACTCACTCACTTCCCCAATTCGCAGCCATACACTTAGCGGCACAACACACGCACGCACGCACGCACTTTTGTTTGGAACACCTTCACAAATGTGTGAGTTGCATCCTATCCAAACAATTCCCAATCATGGTGCATCTCCCAACAGGCAGACGATGGCTAATACAAAGCTTATTCTCAACGTGCGTGCGTATGCATGTACATTCCTGAGTGTGCAGACAGCTATAAAAGAGAGAAAGGTGTCTGCGTTGAAAATCAGATGGGATGATTCATTTTTCCATATAGATACTTTTACTATGCTAAAAGTACTTTCATAGAATTGTTTTTAGGTCAGTCGCTATCCCAGTAGCATAAATGCATTTATGCTAACAGGTTAATGAAATGTAATTGGAACCCATATGCTATGTTGTGTGCTTTTTTTGCATTAAAACTTTTTTTTATTAATTATTACCGCAGTTTGGAGAGGCCATGACAGCTGAACTGTGCAATAACATTTCCCCAGCGATGAGAAAATGTGTTTTTGTGTTATTTTATGTCGAATACAAATATCGTACAATGTGGATTTTTTAATGTGGTTTTACATAAATCTAAATTTTTTATCAAGTATCAAGTACAACTTTATTGTCAAATGTGCTGTATGTTACAGCACAGATGAAATTTCCTCCCTCTTAAACAGACAACAAGAGGAGCCGCTGCGGGTGCCCGCGCCCCCATTTATATTCATTTTTACTGAAATGTATTTAGTCCAAGAAAAAGCCAATTACAATTTGAGACCCACTGCACTACATTGTTCCTGTTCATGACATGTGACTCTTCAGCAGCTAATATCCCCAAAATAGAGAAATATGAAGAAGAAAATAGAAATAAAACTGCACCGGGTACTGACAATGCATGCATCACTAACATGGACACCATGTTGTGTCCTTCTCAATTCAGTCTCCCTATTCTCTTCCATGAATACCCCTTGACATTTAGATTTGGGCTCGACATGGTCCTAACCCCCAGCCTGTGTGTGAGTGCGTGTGCGTGTGTGTGTGGGTGGGTATGTCCTGCCATGACCTACACTGGGAAGCCTCAGACCGCATCGTTAGTTTTTAGCAATTGTGTTTTTTTTCTTTCCTTACTTGTGCCATCTGCATTTTCCTGCAAAAACCCAACACACATACACACACATACACACACACTCTCTCTCTTTCTCAAACCTTCACCCTGCGTTGTTGTGCTATCATAAATACCGAAAGTTATCTTGATGCGACTTTTGGTGGGGTTTTTTTCCTGTAAACAAATGACAAAGATGCTAGCGCAGGAAGCCGTCTGTTGTCATGGATTCACATAAATGGATCCCAGCTTTTCACTCACCGCCGATGTTGTCTCGGCACAAAATCAATGACGTTTATCTGCTCGACCACCCGCAGTAAAGCGGCATCCAAACAAATTGTCACTTGGAGCCTTTGACATGCGTGCGACAGTTTGTGTCCGGAAAATACTTTCGGCTCTTTATCACAAACCTTTTACAATTGACATTTATTTTTAAAATACGAGGCGTGACAATGACCACTTAATGTCTCGAAGCCAATTTTAGGGATAAATCTGTTTCTCATGAGAAAGAAATTTATGGATGGGTGATTTGTTGTTAAAGCAGAACAGAAAATGAAAGTGTATCAAAGTTGACTTGAATGAGGATGTGTCACGGAAGCCTGTCATATTTAGTCGCATCAGTGACATTTTAACAGCTACTTCATTTTAATAAATGAATGTCAGTCGCGAATAATATGCCATCGGAACATAGCGCCATCAGTGCAAAATACGGCATTTTGTTAAGTCATAAATATTTGAACCACAAAGACATTTTGTCACCAAAACTTGTGTTTTTCTGTCAAAACGGGAAAATATTTAAAAAATTGATCACGGCGGTGTTTTTGGAGTGTGTTATGAGATTACCTTTTTCTTCATGCCCTCACTGGAACCATTTTGAAATTATGAAGCAAACTACTTACAGAAAAAAGAAAACGTTATCGGGGTGAAAAAAAAAAAACTTTTGATGGAGTTAGCCTCTTATGGAGCATTCTGCTGCAAAATAGCCCACTCGTTTCATTCGGT